GGGGGGGGGGGGGGGGGGGGGGGGGGGGGGGGGGGGGGGGGGGGGGTCCTTTGGGGGCTCAGAGCTTGGCTAAGCAGCTGCCTGCCTTTGGTAGATCTCGGAAGTGGTGGTCCACTTCTATGGCCTTGTTCACTGGGAAGACCCCCTGGATGAAGGCCCACCTTCGTCTCACTACGTGTCCACCGAAAACTGCATCGTCAAGGAAGGTGTGCTGAATTACAAGGCAGGAACCAATTACCTGGGGAAAGAAATCTGGAAGTCTTGCTTTGTGGTGCTCAGGTGAGGAGGATGTGGCTGGGGCCAGAAGGAAGGTTGGCTAGACTCTGGTTCCTTTTTTTCTTTTCTTTTTTATCGTTATTATGAATTGTTATTGAAGACGTTCTTAACCAAGCAAAAACCAGAAGAGAAAATATAACAGATAGAAATGGTAACTAGGGAAGAAGAAATAGAAAAGGTATGCGACATGAATACCGTAATGAGCCTCATTCCAACTGTCTGGTCCCTTCCCAGCTTGCAGAAGTGTAGAAGTCGATCGCTTGTTGCAAAGATTGCAGAAGTTCGTCCTTGAAGAGTTTATAGAAAGAGACTAGTAAATGAAAAACGGTTGCAGGAACTGGGCCTGGCTAGACCAGGGGAGACAGGATAGCAGCAGTGTTCCAATATTTGAAGGGCTGCCCCAGAGAGGAGGAAGGGGTCAAGCTATTTTCCAAAGCACCCAAAGGCCAGACAAGGAACAATGGATGGAAACTGATCAGGGAGAGATTCAACCTGGAAATAAGGAGAAACTTTCTGACAGTCAGAACAATCAACCAATGGAACAGAAGTTGCCTTTGGAAGTTGTGGGAGCGTCATCACTTGAGACTTTCAAGAAGAGATTGGACTGCCCTCTGTCAGGAATGGTGTAGGGTCTCCTGCTTGGGCAGGGGGTTGGACTAGATGACCTACAAGGTCCCTTCCAACTCTGATTATCTGTTAAGAAAAACCTCTGATCTAGGCCGTTTCCTGATTTTGACCTTTTTTTATAGCTTTACTAACATATTCATAGAGATCTGTTCATTAAGGTTTTCTGTTTTTCTGTGATCTTTGGTAAATTTTGCTTCTTCCTCATCCTTTTTGCCGGGTTGATTGTTATATAATTTAGAGTAACATTGCTGACTTTTTTTTTTTGCATCTCGATCAGATGTTACGATATTTCCATCAAGTGGTTTTAACATCTTTAAAGTCAGCTAATTTTACGTTCATTTCTCTTACTGTCATCAAAGACAACTGCTTTTAAGAATTTAATATGTAGTGAAATAATCTTTTGGGGGAATTTATTTGCCTCTTTATAAAACCCTAGTAAGTAATTCCACCCCTGGAATACTGCCACCAATTTTGGTCACCATACTACAAATAAAGATGTTGAGACTTTGGAAAAAAGTTCAGAGAAGAGCAACTAAGATGATCCAAGGCCTGGAGACTAAACCATGCGAAGAACGGCTGCAGGATTTGGGTCTGGCTAGTCCAAAGAAAAGAAGAATTAAGGGGTGACATGATAGCAGTCTTCCAGTATTTGAGGGGCTGCCACAAAGAAGAGGAAGGGGTCAAATTATTCTCTAAAGCACCAGAGGGCAGGACAAGAAACAATGGATGGAAACTAATCCGAGAGCCTGGAATCAGGGACAGTGAGGACAATTAACCAGCGGAACTGTTTGCCTTCAGAAATCATGGCTGGTCCATCACTGGAGGCTTTTAAGAAGAAACTAGACAGTCACTTATCTGAAAATAGTATAGGGTCTCCTCCAAGATCCCTTCCAGCTCCCTTCTATTCTATTCTATTCTATTCTATTCTATTCTATTCTATTCTATTCTATTCTATTCTATTCTATTCT